ATGAGCTGCTGTGGGACTGGGAATGACCTGGTGTGGGACTGGGAATGACCCTTTGTGGGGCTGGGAATGACCCGCTGTGGGACTGGGAATGACCTGGTGTGGGACTGGGAATGACCCTTTGTGGGGCTGGGAATGACCCGCTGTGGGACTGGGAATGACCTGGTGTGGGACTGGGAATGACCCTTTGTGGGGCTGGGAATGACCCGCTGTGGGGCTGGGAATGACCCGCTGTGGGCCAGGAAGGCCCCTCCACGGGGCTGGGAATGAGCTGCTGTGGGCCAGGAAGCCGAGCTGTGCTGTCCCTGCACCCCAGCCCCCCCGGAGCACCCCCCCTTCCCCAGCACCCCTCCCCAGAAATTACCTTTCCTAAATGGCTTCTCCTCGGAGTCTCCGAAGGGGTCGAGGCTCTGCCACGGATCTGGCACCTCCTGGCACAGGGGTGAGGATGGAGCACAGCTCCCCGTGGCACCCTGGGATACCCCAGTGTCCTGGGGGGTCACATCCCACCTGGACTCCAGAGCCCCCCGCTCCAGGCCCCCCTTACCTTGCTGTGGGCTCTGGGGTCCTGGCTGGGGGGTTTCTCCCGCAGGACGTATCCCCGTGTCCGGGGTGAACTCTGGGACACAGAGAGGGACAGTGAGGGCTGGTACCTGCAGGGCTGGGGGGTCTGGGGGTCCGGGGAGGGGATGATGGGGGTCTGGGGGTCCAGAGGTCTGCGGAAGGAGTGGGGGGGCTCTGGGAAAGGAGTGAGGGGTGGTGGAGAAGGAGCAAACGGATCTGGGGAAGGAGTAAGGGGATTCCAGGGCCCAGGGATCCAGGGAAGGAGTGAGGGGCTCCAGGGCAGGAGTGAGGGGCTCCAGGGCAGGAGCAGGGGCAGCCCCCCAAGCCCTGCCCACACAGACCCTCTGTGCCTCAATGTGTTCATTTGGGGCCAGAGTCATTTCCACGTCGTCCCCCAGGGCCCCGGGAATGTCGTCGTCATCATCTGGTCCTGCAGCACCTGGGGGGGGAACGGGCAGAGGCTGGAGAGGCTTCTGGACCCCCCATTTCCAGCCTGGCTACCAAAGAATTCCCCTGGGTGCTTGTCCTGCCAGGGCCAAGGGGCACCAGAGGGCAGGAGCAGGGAATCATGGAGTTGGTTGGGTTGGAAAGTCCCTCTGAGCCCACCGAGTCCAACCAAGGCACTGCCAAGGCCACCCCTGACCCAAGGCCACCCCTGACCCACGTCCCCAAGTGCCACATCCACAGGGCTTGGAAATCCCTCCAGGGCTGGGCACTCCAAACCTCCCTGGGCAGCCCCTGCCAAGGCCTCACCACCCTTTCCAGCAACAAATTCCTCCTCAGCCCCAACCTGACCCTCCCCTGGCCCAGCCTGAGGCCGTTTCCCCTTGGCCTGTCCCTTGTTCCCTGGGAGCAGAGCCCGACCCCCCCCCGGCTCCCCCCTCCTGGCAGGGACTTGCAGAAGGATGAAGTCTCTCCTCACTCTTCTCCTCTCCAGCATTTCCAGACAGACACATGGACACAAGGACAACCACCTGGATCCCCCTCAGCCAGGTGACACCACTCACCTGCCTCCTCAGAGAAGCTCAGTGCCCGGATCGGAGCCACGCTGGCACTCGGATGCTCCACACCAGGACCAGATCCCGGAGCTCCTGCCAGGGCACGGTGGCAGGTGACAGTGAGAGGCGAGTGGCCCCCCCCAGACACCCCCCCGGAGCCCCCCAGGTACCTGTGGCTCTCCTGGGGCTCCGCAGGCGCTGCTCCTGCAGGTGTGTGGGGGAGAGCCCGGCCAGCTCCAGCAGGAATGCTCCGGTGGCGTGGGGGGTGCAGGTGTTCATCCGGAAATCCTTCCGGCTCGCCAGGACCTCCCCCTTCCGGCTGCGGGAAAACCCTGTCAGGGACCCCCCTCACCAGGCTGGGGGGTCCCTAAAGCCCCCCTGCTCCAGCCTGGGGTCACCCCAACCCTTTCACCAGCACGGTCCTGTCTGGATTTCCCTGCACATCCCTGGGACCCTCCTGCCTCCCACCAGAGGCAGATCCCAACAGGAATTGTGCAGCCATGGGGTTTATCCTGAGGGACTGAGGGATCCCAAATAGAGCAGGGGAGGGGGATATTGGGTGCTCCCACCCAAGGGTCCCGACTGGAGCAGGAGAGGGAGACATAGGACACTCTAACCCAGGGATTCCAGCTGGAGCAGAGGAGGGGGAACCCCCCAGCAATGGGGGGACACACTCCCCCCACCCAGAGGTGGCTGGGGGGGTGGTGGCACCTCAACAGGGGGTTTTCCTTCTTCTCCATCTCTTCCGGGGGGACCAGAGACATCGGGGTCAAGGGAACGACGTTCACAGCCTGGCAGGGTAAGGGAATATGGGAAGGAGCCTGGGAAAGGCCCTGGCACAGGTGTCACTGTCCCCAAGGCCACCACTCCTGCTGGAATGGCCCTGGGATTCACCCAGGAAAACCCTTCCACAGGGAGGGGCAAAAGGAGACGGGTCCCTCTTACACTGGGCTGCTGATTGCTGCTCATGTCCACGCTGGCCTGGCTGGTGTCCTTGATGTCATCCAGGGACAGGAACTGCCGGGAGAGCCACAGGAGTGTCACCCCCGGCACACCGAGGGATCCCACAGGAGCAGGGCAGGGGACACAGGGCATTCCCACCGAGGGATCCCACA